TCTATTCCACATTATGTCTTCGATGGGCCCTATGACTAAAAGAGAGCTCAAAGAAACACAGCTTCTCTTCAACGGGTAATCAGCTGATTATTAAATATTCAGTACATTTGCTTAAAGTCTCCAGAAGATCATAGTGAAAGTTATTAGCTTTAGGAATGTGTTAACTATTTAAAATTTTGTGAAAAGTAAATCCTCCAGGCTATTTAATGCTAAGGTAAAAGAAATATGCAACCACTCTTTTCAAAATGAAGTTTGCTCAAAGGAGAGAAAGTTGCTCATTGTGATAAGCTGAGAAAGGCTGCAGAGTGAAGTGTTTAAGAGCCTCATTCTAGAATCACAGCCTAATCTTGGTTCCTCTTCATCATGCCTTTGATGACTTCTTGAAACATGTTTTAACCCTTGCAAATAGGAAGACAATTAAGAGGGAGTAAAATTTCTTAAGGAATTTTCATGTCCTTGAAAACAGCGCCAGATGTGACTAAGCAGTCTGAAAAGTACTTCAGAAGAGCTGTAAACCAGACAGACAACATAGCAGATTTTCCAAAAGGTGCAGAAATCTTAAACCTTCAACACCCTTCTCTCTTCTGAGTGAGGCTATGCATTTTACCATCTAAATCTAAATTCTTAAATTAAAGTCTTGGCGCTTTTTGAATTATCACCTTACGTTAGAGAGACTCTCTTGGTTTCATCAATCATTTATACACTTGAATGAAAGAAAGACCTTAAAAAAATAAGATCTTGACAACACAGTTCACCTGTTGAGGTGAGAGGAGGAGACATGACGTTAAGGACAACTCAAATCAAGATCTATAGGGAAATGGAACACTACCAATTCCACAATTCAGTTGAGATTCTTATTATTTTCCACTTTTTCTTCTGTCACCAAATGTATCTATTAAACTCAAACTAGGCAAATTTGGTTACAAAGTTTAACACTTTCTTGAAGATATTTGATGGAAGATAAACTGAATCATAAATCAACTCTACAAGTTCACATTGATTCATCAATTACTAAATATCTTCCATGTGCAAGGTACCATACTAGGCGTTTAATTGTACTCTATTATTGAACTTTTGTGTGGCTTTCGAAGCTAGTGTTATTCACAGAAATACAGCTCCAGCATTTATGAATCCAATGAAATCACTAAACCTCTCAGGCTTTCCAACTTCCATTGTGCAAAATAGGCCTGGTGTTGACCACACCTGTATCAAGGTGTTGTAGGAGGTCCAGCCTCAGACCAAACTGAGCCTACCCATGTTATTGCTGCAAGAGTGAGGATATTTCTTTTCTCTCTCAGTGAAAGAAGAACTCACGTGTCTTCAGTAACAGAGTTCTCTGACATAAAGCACTCCATACAGCTGCTAACTACTTTCTCTTTAATGTTCTGGAATAAGATTTGGGGCACCCACACATGGAAATAAAACCTTAGGTGTGCTTTACCTTTGGTTTCAACGTGTCCAGCTTTGCCTTCTGTTTCTAGAGCTGAGAAATCTTTCTCTTTTTTTTAAGAATTATTTATTTAATTTTATTTATTCATTCATTTATTTTAATTTTACCAGAGAGACACACAGAGAGGGGGAGAGAGAGAGAGAGAGGGAAAGTGAGAAAGCAAGCTACCAGGTCCAGGATTTGAACCATGGTTAGCCATGTGGGAGTGTTCAGTGCCTTAACTACCATGCCACCTGCTAGCCTCAGTAATCTCATTTTTAAATACAAAAATTTTCTCTCTTGATGGCAATATTTAAACAGGATTTTAGTTAACCATCACCCTCCAAATCATTAAGTTACTCAATCTCAAACCTAAACACATCCTACAAGCCTTCTTGGTTGCTGTAAGACAAGCAAACTTCAACCTATCGTATAAGGGAAAGGGGCTCTCCTGTAAATTATTCTTATGGAATAATTGCAGCAGATAACTGTCCCAATTCATTAAACAACATTCCACCTCAATACCCATGAACCTTTTATTCATTATCTGAAACAATACTCAAATTCTGTTAAATAGTCACTGTTACTTCTGGTTTACAAATGAGGAAATGGAACATCAAAATGCTAAATGAGTTGCCCAATGTCTCACAGCTGGCAAGTGACAGAATTAGAACCAGGCTTGTCCTGAAGCCTAACTTCAGTTCTCTACATAGCCGTGGAATGGGAGAGCTCTTCTTTTTTTTTGTTTTGTTTTGTTTTGTTTTGTTTTGTTTATTTTAGCTTCTCCATTTGTCTTTACATCTGCAGTCACTTATGCCAAAATTTGCTACTGGTCCCTCTATTCAAGAGGAAAGAATTCTCTATTGACTCTAGAAAGTCCACACAACTTTCCCAAACAGGTGCATACTTTTATAATAGGATAAAACTAAAAGTCATACCAACAATATTGGGACTAATGTGAGGGGTCTCTGAAACTGCAAATGATAACAGAAAAAGTCGTTAAGGACTGTCTGGACTTCTTTGTGTCTCACTATCCAAATCTGAGAGGATTAGCACTAAAAATTATGTAGAAGGAGCAATTGAGAGAGAAAAGAGTGAGCCCGAATTTTAAGAGCATCACTCTGCAAGTGCCAGGAAAACATTATGAAAGTCAATTAGACCTTGATTGTCAATGAGTAGATATAAATTGATTTGTGAAAACTAGGGGTATTAAAATAAAATGGCTCTCCTAAACTAAGCAAGAAAATTTCAGAGAAAATAGAAAAAAACATTACTTTCCAAATTTGTGATGTTACTGATTTGGAATTTCTGTATATATTACAAGGGTTTTTGTATTATGATACACTCACATTCATATATATGCACTAATACACAAAAAGTATTATATTAAAGAGTTGTTATTTTAGAATATAGAAAATCCTAATTTCTAATCTAATTTTTTTGCATTTGTTAGGAACTTTTAGCCTCAATATTTTATGTTTGTATGTTGATCAAGTTATCTAAGTTCTTGCACATTCTTTTAAGTGTATAAAATAACTTACTTTCATTTTGAAAATAAAATTAAATTTATAATACTATTACTTACAAGGATGAGTAAAATAAGCTGAAAATATAGTTTAAAATCTAGTTAAAGTAGTTATGTTGATTTCCAAGTCATTCGAGTTAAGGTTTGAAGAAGGAGCAAGATAGATTTCTGGCCTGTAAGGGAGATGAGTGGGTGGTAGAGGGTAGGCAGGAGAGATAAAGAGAAGAAATACTTAACAGACCTAAGAATGTAAAATTATCTGTTGAAAATGGTGTACATAGGGGGGGAAACTATATTGAAGTTAATCCTCTTTTGATTAAATAAACATACTATGATAAAAAAGAAATTCCAAACCTTGAAGGCTCATTCACCATGAGCCACCAGGCCTCACCACATTTCTCCTAGCACCTTATGTAGGGTTAGAGGGAGCTTCAGCAATTCTCTTCTGATTAATGAGGACTGAAATCTAGTGTGGGTATGACAGGGTGATAAAAATTCTTACACGTGGACTTGACAAAATCAAGTCCCTGATCTTAAAAGATCCTTCATATACTACAAATTCGAAAATTGATTGAGGATGCTTTGTAATTTAGGGTTAAAATAACAAGAATCACCACTTACAAGACACTGACTATGGGTCAGTTGTGCTCTAAATGAGATAGATAGATAGGGAGACAGAAAGAGAGGTCCTAAAATAATGTAAATACTATTATTATCTCTAATTTTACAGAGAAACACAGAGTTCAAGTGACCTGTCCAACATCACACATGTGCTAAATAGTGAGACTTCAATCGAAACCAGGGAGTCTAGATTCAAAACTCATATTCTTGGGGCCAGCAAGTGGCATAGGGGTTAAGGTGGCATAAGCCATATGAACTCCCATATGGCTGACTGTGACTCAAGTCCTAGATCCAATAGCTTGAAATTCAAGCTGAGCACAGGTACATGTATGCCCAAAATCTTTAGAAGAAAATGGAGGAAATGAGATTGTAGTGTGTCCGTCCACCTGGGGAGGTGATTTCTCACTTTTTGTCTCTCTGTCTCTCTCTTTTTCCAGCAAGTACACGTGCTCCATAGCAAAGATCTCTTAAACACACACACACACATTCTTAATTAAGTAGCTAAAAGAGCTCAGGAGAATGAGGTTTGTATATTCAAATCTAACATTTGACCATTAAGAGCATCTCTGTAAACATACCCTAATTCTTTGCATTGAAAAATCCCATCTGTCTGATTATCTCACAATTACATAGCTAAACTTGATTCCACTGGATTTTCCATTATAATGTTGAAACGAGTAAAATGGACAGATAGTTATTTCAGGGCATGGCCTGATTCATCAGGGACACACAGAACTGTGCTAATAACTCACTGGTCACTTACTATACATCAGGCACTTTACGTGCATTGCCTTACCTAATCCTTAAAAGAAATCTGTGGGGCAGGCCAGCCAGCGGCATGGTGGTTACGGTAGCTGAGTCCCACATGGCCAGCTATGTGATTTGAGTCTTGGACCCAGATGCTTGAAAAATATGCCAGGTACTTGTGTGGGCATGTACAAAATGCCCTGAGAGAATGGAGGAGAAGAGATTGCACCAAAGCCATCTCTCCTAAGGGAAACTTTCTTTCTCTTTCTCTCTCTCTCTATATCTCTCTCATACAGAAACTTTTTAAAAATCTGTGAATTATGATCACCCAGTTTCAAAGATAAAGAAAATGAAGTAAGAGATGATAGGTATCTCATTCAAAGAGACAGTAAATGATCAAGGCAGGAGGTGATCCTTGGTAATACGAATCCAACATTTTAACTAGTTTGGCTACACCGTACTGTCTAGATATTTAAGACAATGATTTCAATTGCCTGTCTTTAAAACACCGATCAAGACAGAGACACAGAGAGAAAGATTATCTTTGCACAAGATTGAAACTCTCTGTCATCCCCTCTCCTCCTTACCATGTATTTTGTAATTGTTTGACAATGCATGTAGTGCAGATTATCCTCATCGTCCCAGGTCTGCATCTTGTCCTTGTGGCCCATGGGAAACATGTCTATAACCAAGGCCTGGAACAGCTCATCGGTGACTGTGTTCATCCTCCTGGGATTCACAGACCATCCAGAACTGCAGGTCTTCCTCTTTGTGGCCTTCCTGGGCATCTATCTCATAACACTGGTCTGGAACCTAGCCCTCATCTTTCTGATCAGAGGTGACATACATCTGCACACACCTATGTACTTCTTCCTCAGCAACTTGTCTTTCATTGACATCTGCTACTCTTCCACTGTGGCTCCCAAGATGCTCACTGACTTCTTCCAAGAGCAGAAGACCATATCATTCATGGGCTGTGCTGCTCAGTTTTTCTTCTTTGTTGGCATGGGTCTAACCGAGTGCTTCCTCTTGACTGCTATGGCATATGACAGATATGCTGCCATCTCCAGCCCCCTTCTCTATACCACGATCATGTCTCAGGACCTCTGTGTGCACATAGTGATTGGGGCATATGTGGGGGGCTTCCTGAGCTCCCTGATCCAGGCCAGCTCCATATTTCGACTCCACTTTTGTGGACCTAATGTCATCAACCACTTCTTTTGTGATCTCCCACCAGTTCTGGCACTTTCCTGCTCGGACACCTTCCTCAGTCAAGTGGTGAACTTCCTCGTGGTGGTTGCTGTTGGAGGAACATCATTCCTCTTTCTCCTCATCTCCTACAGCTACATAGTGTCTGCTGTCTTGAAGATCCGCTCCCTGGAAGGCCGATGGAGAGCCTTCAACACATGTGCCTCACACCTGATGGTGGTGATTCTGTTGTTTGGGACAGCCCTCTTTATGTACCTGCGACCCAGCGCCAGCTACTCACTTGACAGGGACAAGGTAGTGTCTGTATTCTATTCACTGGTGATCCCCATGCTGAATCCTCTCATTTACAGTTTGAGGAACAAAGAGATTAAGGATGCCCTGTGGAAGGTATTAGGGAAGAAGAAAGTGTTCTTTTAGGTCATGATTAGGAAAATATTTCTCCAAACTGCAGATGACAGGTGATCTGTGACATCACCTCCACCTCTGCTTTCAGCAAGAGAAATGTTTTGTATCCATATATGAAAATGGAGGTTCCTCTTATAAGATTCCTCTCCCAAGATTGCTTTCATTGTTCTTCATGGTCACTTGTCTACTTGTCACATACAGCCAAAAAGAGAAAAGAATTTATTCAGGAAAATAAATCTTCTCTTCAGGATAGCCTATTCTCACAATAATCACAACTAGCCTTCATTAGGTGCTTAACATGTAACCAAAAACATTTCTTATTTAATCAAATACTCATTGCAAGGGTACAAGGCCTATAACATTACTCCTATGCTACAAAATGAGAAAACAAGGTCTCAGAAAGGAAAACTTACTTTCCCAGGGTTGCACAGAAATTAAGGGTAGACCTCTGATTCCAGACCCAGGAATCAGAGTGACTTCCTAATTCCACTTATTCTCTGCTCAAATACAGCACTATATATTAAATAACAAACAGTCTTAAAGTCATACAAGCATGTAACTGTCATTATTAGCAGTTGGCAGAATTTGAAAAAAATACACCATGTATAATTGAGGTAATTTATGAGTACAATATGCCTACTACATTAAACATTTTCTTCATCTCCCTGTCAGACTCCCATTATGTCTTTCGGGCATATTCCTGCTACAATTTTAGTGACCTTTCTCCCTTTTCAGAATCTTTTCCTTTCCTCTCTTTTCTTATTATGCCCTGTCTTTCCAGTTAGATAGCTCCCTCTCAGTACTAAGACAATGATTTAAATAAAGACTGAATTATTAGATGAATTATCTGGAATGGTTATGGATCAGAGTTATTCTGGGTACACAATAGGATTTCTCATGAGGATTTCTTTTTTTTTTTTTTTTAGAGGTTTTCACTATAGGGCGCGTGTGCTCGCCAGACAGACAGAGAAAGACATAGAGACAGAAAGCAAGAAATCACCCCCGAGGGGGGATGGTCACAGCGCAATCCCTTCTCCTCCATTCTCCTCTTGGGATCTTGGGCACGCACGCACACGCGCCCAGCGTGAGTTTCAAGCCACCGGGTCCGGGACGCGAACCACGGTCGACCACGTGGGAATCCAGTGACATAGCCATTACGCTAACTGCTGGTTCCCTCATGAGGATTTCTTTGGACAAAAAAAATGTAGTCTGCAAAAAATGAACAATATAATATGTTATGTAGGCAATTATGAAAGCATGGGAATGAGATCTCCCTTGGATTGTTTTCTTGAGTGATGATGATGTAAAATAGAGACCCTAAGTTGAATCACAAAGGACATATATCGAGTATTGTATCTAACTGAAAGTTAGGGGATGTTTGTTACATAAGCACAAGCCAATTTATCTTGACAAATATACAACCTTATTAGTAGAAGTCAAAGTAAAGAAGGAAGAAGAAGTGAGAGATGTTATAGTTTTCTGCAATTGCAACTTTATTCTGTGGTCCATTCATGAGATCCCTATTGCCCTCAAGTTGAAGTCCTTAACATGTATTACAAAGTCCTTTTGCTTTTTGCTATACTCTTGCTCACCTCTCTGACTCCTCTCTCTCTCTCTCTCTCTCTCTCTCTCTCTCTCTCTCACACACACACACACACACACACACACACACACACACAGCTACACCCCTCCTAGTACTTTAGGACCTGAGCAGTATACTGTGTCATTACTTTTGATTAAACTCTTTGCAAAAGAAGTTCCCTCTTCCCTTCATATCCTTCTTACCTGATGACTTCTCAACTTTTGGATCTCAACTCATGCAACACTTGCTCCATGGAGATTTGTCCACCCTCCCTTCAAATTCTAGACATCAAACTGTGCCCCAGAGGTTGCACTAACATCACTATTTGTAGCCCATTCTATTGCTTGTACTCAACACTAAGCAGTAACTGTCTTCAGAACAGAAACTTGATCTTGTTCATTGTTGTTCTTCCTGTACTTAACACAGTGCCTGGAACACAGTAGGTGCATAGTGACTAGTGTCTAATAGATAAACACTCGATGTTCATAGTAACTTTGGATTTGATGAGCATAGTGCTTAAGTTATTAACTTGCATCAAGGCTAACAAGGCTTCTCATAGTTTTATTTCAATAAAAGGGAGACTAAACAAAATTATAACCTCTTCCCATCTAGTATTTTTTTAATTTTTTAATCTTTTAATGAGCAAGAGAGGCATCAACCCCACTAGGGTCCCAATGTCTTATTCCACCCCTAGCTTCAGCCAGCACTGGATCATGGGCACACACATACCCAGTATACTCAGGAACTCTAGATTCTACTTGGGATACTTCAGTGTGTCCCATTTTACTTCTGTGACACCATCTGGCCCCCTAATACTCTTTAAAAAAAAATTACAGAGATGGGCCAACAGGTGGCATAGTGGTTGAGAAGCTGGATTCTCACATAGCTGACCACAGTTTGAGTCCAGGAACTGGTGGCTTGCTTCCTCATTTTCCCTTTCTCTCTCTCTGTCTCTCTCTGGTCAAATTAAAATCACAACATAACAACAACAATCATATTAATAACAATAAGAAATAAAGTTAAATAAATAATACTTTAAAAAAATAGAGAGCTTTTAAACTAATCTTAATAACTAACATATTTGCAATACTGATTACCAAAAATATAATATACAGTTACAGATAGTTAAAGAGATAAGTAGCCCCTTCTGCTTTCACAGCTGCCATGGAAAAAGCTTGTGGCAAAGGCAAGGGGAAGCACATAAAAAGAGAGGCAGGTTTCGAAGTTCACTCTTGACTGGACATGCTCTGTAGAAGACGGAATCATGGAAGCTGTTAGTTTTGAGCAGCATTCCATTAGAGAACCAAAGTGAATGGAAAAGCTGGGAATCTCAGGGAGGGGAGGTAACTATTGAAAGGAACAAAAGCAAGATCTCTGTAACTTCCAAGGTGTCTTTCTCCATGAATTATTTAAAATATCTCACCAAAAAGTATTTGAAGAAGAAAAATCACATGATTGATAGTGTATAGTTGTTAACAGCAAAGAGAGTTAGGAATTATGTTACGTCCAGATTAGCCAGAATGAAGAAGAGGAACATGAAGATTAAAACTCATTTCTCTGGAATATTTTCTATGTCTTCTTGATAAAGCTTGGGAACCAAAAAGAGAAAAAGAGAAGTAAATAGTGTAGTATCCTACAAACAAAACACCCTATGCATAATCCTCCATTGTTTTCTGTCTTTGATATTTCTAGCCATAACTTATTTAAAACCATGGAGAGATGCATAATTTGATGGTCTTGCATCTTCATCCAAAGTCAAAGCACCCGTTCCCCTAAATTTGAGATATTGGTTTCTGTACCTAACCTGAGGATAAGTACGTGCCTTCCTTGGGACTTGTACCACCATCATCAGCCTTCTTCCTCTCTACCTGTAGATAAGTGGGAAAAGAGACCACTGTTGCATCACAATATGAACCGCTGCTTCCAGAACAAAAAATTCAAGTGAGAAGAGTAGATTTTGCTTTTTCAGACATCTTTCTTCTCTGAAATTAGCTCTTTAAAACCTAAAGCTAATTTAACTTGGCTAAAGTACAAAACCATTGTACAAAATATTTATAAACTCAATGTTATCATAACATCACTTTATAGAACATATTTAAACAAAGTAGTAGGCAGAGATAAGAGATTTTCATCGTCATCATTTTACTCTTCCTAATGTTAAAATATGTTAAGGTGCCTTCAAATATGTATGCACAGTACAAAATAAAGCAAGGTACAAATGCTGAAGAAGTGCAAGCTTCTAAAATGTTCAAATGAAATATGATGATTCAAAAATATAGATAAAGGGAACCAGCAGTTAGTGTAATGGCTATGTCGCTGGATTCCCACGTAGTCGACCGCGGTTCGTGTCCCGGACCCAGTGGCTTAAAACTCACGCCGGGCGCGTGTGCGTGCATGCCCAAGATCCCGAGAGGAGAATGGAGGAGAAGGGATTGCGGCGTGACCATCCCCCCTGGGGGGTGATTTCTCGCTTTCTGTCTCTATGTCTCTGTCTGTCTGGCGAGCGCACGCACCCTACAGTGAAAATCTCTCAAAAAAAAATATAGATAAATACATATGTAGCCTTGGAATGGAAAATATCTTGATAACCTTAATGCTAAAAGCAAAAACATGCAGAAGAAAAAAGAAAGTCTTGGGCCAGCAGTTGCAATGCAGTAGTAACGCAACGTTCAGAGAGGCTGGATGTACGTGGAACAGTCCCATTTGCCTCTGAGAGTCTTCCTATACACACTGAGCATGTGCACACGCTCATGATCTAGGCAGGCTGAGGCTGGAGGGGGATCATGGCGTGAAAACCCTGTGAGGGGTGGGGAAATACAGTGGTTATGTGGCATTATCTGTTGAAGATATTTTATAGTTTTATCAACTAGAGTAGGGAGAAATGTTCATCTGTTGAAATATTCACCTCTTAAGCTCAATAATGTGATTGGCTGTATAAAAGAAAATGAAATTTAAAAATGTAAAAAAAAAAAGAGAGAGAGAGAGTGGTCAAACACATATTAAATAAATAAACATGAATCTTAAATATAAAAAAATAAGTTTGATATATTCCTTAATTAAACAGACACTGAACTTATGGAAAAATAAAAGAAAAAAATAAAAAGGAAGACCCTGTTGGGGGGTAGCTGTTTCACCTCTCTTCCTTTCTCTCATGAAAGAAAAAAACTGGGGGGACCTTTTGTTGTTTTTTAGTAGAGGTTTTTGCCTTTGGGCACATGATCTTACCAGAGAGAAAGAGACAGAGATACTGAGAGGGAAAGTAAGAAATCACCCCCCAGGGAGGATGGCCACATCTCAATCCCATCTCCTCCATTCTCTTCCTAGGATCTTGGGCACATGCACACACATGCCCACCCTGAGTTTCAAGCCACTGGGTCTGGGACTTCTACCATGGTTGGCCATATGGGAGTCCAGTGACATAACCACTACA